TTAGCAGTCAGAATCTGGTATTCAGAGGATGTGCTCCTGCCCATCAGGTTCTTGCTGCCCACGTGGAAGGAGAAGTAAAGCTGCAAACCAGGACTCTGTGAGGACAACTGTGTTTGACAGGTCAGGTTCACTGGATTCCCCTCTAGGAGGGGGGATGAAAAGAATGCTCTCAGCACTGGGGCTGGAAATAGCTCTAAAGAGAAAGTGGACAGGGGATGAGAAGGCATCCATAAGACATTTTTCCCGCTGCCGGCAAAGATGCATTTCTTGGGGTTTCCGATAGACGTAATTACAGTCTCCAGCTTGCTCACACCCTACTGTGGGGAATACCTCTACCCAACCCATGCCTCCCTAAATGGCCACGGCATATATCATATGATCCTGCGCTTCTGGCAACGGTCAGCCAGAGTGGACACTGACTCATATGCTACCCAGTTCAGTAACTTGTTATATGCGTTCCTGGCTTAAAAGATAATCCAGGAGAATAAATTTTTTCCCAAAAGAAATAACCAAAACAAAAAAAAAAAAAAAAAAAGTTACTAATGGTTGGTGAGGAGAGGAGGAGAGACCATGATAGATTGAGGTCTGAGACCGTGTGCCAGCTGGCACACAGGAAGCTGCTCGGTTAGCAGATAACTCAGAGAGAAGCAGAACGAGAGAGGCCACATTGTCCCTGAGAGACAGATGGAAAGTGTAACCAATTCCAGATGTCTTCTTAGTTTCTAGCTCTGTGAACTTCCATAAGATTTCATTGGGTTACTTTCTAATAACCCTCCTAGCTACCTTGAGTGAATCTCGATTCCTTGCAACTAAAATGAAACTAATGAAATGAATCCTCATGTTGCCTTGGCCTCAGTATTAGCTCCTGGGATTACAGGTGGGGTATTGTGGTATATTGAAAAGAGCAATGGGCTGGAACCCAGAAGACCTCAGTTTTGGGGTTGGCCCAGTCGCTCTGGTCATTGTGTGGCCTTCAGTAAGGCAGTTCATCTCTCTGAAGCTCAGTTTCTTCACTTGTATATTGAACTGACGATTTATGATGCTGTTGCTAGTCCTTACAGTAATAGCTCTAGGACTGTGACGATGCCATACCTTTCACAGAGATAGATACTCCCGCTGATCTGTACATGTATTGGTTGTTTCCCTTTCCTGAGCAGTGATAGACGCCACTGTGACTCAAGTTGGTTTTCTGAATGGTGAGTTCAGATTTGTAAGGAGAAAACATAAAGGCTTTGCCATTTTGATAGAAAACCACGTTGTACACCAGCTTATTCTTCCATCCATGACACCTCAAGGCCAGAGATTCTCCTTCAGTGAAGACTCGGCTAGAGACCTGTAGTAGCAGCCAACCTGAAAAAAATGTAGACCCCAAACGTATATAGATAGTGGAGGAGACACAAGGATCCTGAAGCTTGGCCCAGAGGCTTTATCTTTTTCGTCTTGCAACATTCCAGCTTCAGAGGTCTGCTGACTCTGAGGCCTGTGGCCCATTCCTCAAATAGCTTTAGCTTTGTTGGGAAGAAAAGTAGTGTTTCACCAAAAGCCAGGCACACAACCCCTTTTTATCGTCCCTTTCCAGATCTCAAAAGTTGGTTGACACAACAACAGTTTATGTGGTAGGCAGAATTCCAGGGTGACCCCAGTGAATCATGCCCTTGTATAATCCCCTTGAATATGGATGGAACTCATGACTTGCTTTTAGCCAACAGAATATGACAAAGGTGATGGGATGTCCCTCCCAGGATTATGTTATATAAGACTCTGTCTTAGCAGATTAGACTGAGAGTCCCCTGCTGGCTTTGAAGACATGAGCTGCCATGTTGTGAGAGGGCCTGTAAGAGGGCCATGTGGCAGGGAACTTCCAGAGTCTCTAGGATCTGAGAATGGCCCCTGGCTGACAGCCAGCAAGAAAGTGAGGACCTTAATCCTTCAGCGAAAGGAATTAAATTTTGTCACTAACCACATGAACTTGGAAGAGCTCCAGAAAGAGACACAGGCCAGTCAACACCTTGTGGCAGCCTTGTGAGAGCCTGAGCAGAGCACCAAGTTGAGCTATGCCTGGACTCTTGAACTGTGGAAACTGTGAGATGATAAATGTATGTTGTTTTAAGCTGCCAAGTTGGTGGTAATTTGTTACATATCAATAGGAAACTAATACACTCTAACTCCTGACAAACTTTTTAATGGGATCACATGTACTAAGACAAACATACAGAATCGCAGACATATCCAGATGTGTATATCAAACTAAATTGATAGGAGAACTCAGATGTATGCAGATCAGGGATATAGTCGGTGAAAACAAGCTCCCAGTCAAATGGGCCCTCCCTTTCGATGTACACCTCTACATATAACCAAAAATGCAGCGGGCTCAAGCCTGACAACGATTGTGAGGATGGCGCAGGACCGGGCGGTCTTTCATTCTGTGGTGCTTAGGGT